ATGGACACGCTGCAGCTTCTTCTGCAATTCTCCTTTAGGGATTTTTCACACACGCACACACACACACACACACACACACACACACACACACACATATGTTGTGCTTTTCAACCCGCTGGATCTGAGTCTTGAACTGGGCAATGATTCATAATGATTCAGCTGCCTTAACTATCACACCTCTGGCTCATCTAGTCATTTGGTTTTATTTCCATTTCACATAGAAATTCTGGGTTAGGATATGCAAATGTTTTCAAAGCGTCCTTATGGAGTTGTAATTGTCACGGGCTAATATCCAGCATATTTTTTTTTTTTTTTTTGGAGAGGGTTCCCCTATAAGGCATGTACACTCGCCAGAAAGACAGAGAGACAGAAAGCGAGAAATCACACCCCAGGGGGATGGCCATGCCACAATCTCTTCTCCATTCTCTTCTTGGGATCTTGGGTATGCACACACATACACCTGTTGTGAGTTTAGTCCTCCAGGTCTGGGACTCGAACTGCAATCAACTCCATGGAAGTCCAGCAATGTAGTCATTACACCATTTGCTGGTCCCAATATCCAGCTTTTTGAAAACATAGCTCAGTGACTTTTGTAAATCTACAGAGACATATAACCACCACAACACAGTCTGAAAAATTCAATCACTGAAGAAAGACCCTGCCAGCATTGCTCTAACGGCTGCATGTTTGTAGTGAAGGCAGTGGTCAATATATTTACTGTAAAATCTGTCTTCTTAACAAATGCATACAAGGGCAATGCAATAAAATATTGCCAATACAGAAGTAGAATTGTACCATAAATCTCTCGGACTTAATTACTTTAATAACTGGAAGTTTATCAAGTTCCCATTCATCTCTCCCCAGCCCCTGGACACCACCATGAGCCCCTGCTTCTGTTTTCCCTGTCTGGAGGGCCCATGGAAAAGGATCAGGCAGGAATTGCCATTCAGTGGCCCCTGAGGCTCGGTTTAGTCAGGGCTTAATGACAGTTGGCAGAACAGCTCTGTTTTGATCTTGACAGACTATCACACATCCACAGGCCCCAGCCCCTACAGCCCCAAGGTACTGAACATTAATAAGCAGGCGTGTCCAGTGGTTTTCTTAGGCTATTGGGAGAAAGAGATGTGGGCAGTTTGACGATATCACAGCTTGAAGAGGCTGCAGGGAGGTGAGGGACACAGGGGACTCTGAGGGTGAGATCCGACAGCTCCTTTCTCAGCAGACAGGGATGGAGGGGATTGGGATCTGGGTCTGAGTGGGGGTGGGTCCTTCTGGGGGACACACACCATGAGCAGAGGAGGTGCAGGAACTCAGGAGCTGCGGCCAAGGGCGCAAATATTCACACACAAAGATTGTAGATGCTGAGTCTGAGAACAGCTCTCAGATGGCCCTGGGGTGCGGTCACAGTGGGTGTGTGCTTGTAACTTGTCTCCTGCATCAGATGAGCTGCATCTAAGAGCCCCCCATGTGAGTGTGTGGGCACGTAGGCCCACCAGGGCACAGGGCCTGAGGGACAGGTGTGCTGTTCACTCTCATGGCCCTTCTGAACACGAAAGAAGGTGTTTCACAGAGAAGACAAGTGACAGAATCACCCACAAGGACTGAGCCATTCCACAGGAGACTGAGGAGAGAGGTGACCTCCTGACACAGGCCTTGTGCCCAGGATTACTTCATCAATGGTGATGGGATTAAGACAGATTTCATTTTATCTAAGTGTTGAAATGGGAAGAACAAAGGACAAATACTGGATGTTTAACTACCATAACTTGCACCCCTAATCAAGCAATGTGGAAGAAATTTGCAACATTTAGAATCAGAATTTCTGTAAAATCAGACCTTGGGCTTTGTATATTTTCTAGATCAAAGTGATAAATTAATCCAGTCTGATCCACCGCCTGTGGTACAAGACCTTCCCTCACCTCATTGCACCTAAGTCAGCACACTGGTCTGTGCCTTCCCCATTTCCCAGTCCTTCCTCTGACCACCAAGGGGCCTGTGCTCTCTCCTCTGCCAACATCACCCACCACCTTCTCAGGGGGAAGCTTCACACATAAATAACAATAAAATAGTAACACACATGTGTGTGACCTGCCAGCTCCAGGTGGGATGACAACTACAGTCCTCAGGGAGATGGCACTTCCCCAGAGGTTCACATTGTCTTTTTCATTATTTGCTTGGTTTTGCAATGATTTTTATACAGTCATATTTGCAATTTTTTAATTTCTTTTTTTTTGTTTCCCTGAGAGATTTTTGCTATAGGGCGCGTGCACGCACCAGAAAGACAGAGAGAGATAGAGAGACAGAAAGCGAGAAATCACGCCCCGGGAGAATGGCCATGCTGCAATCCCTTCTCCTCCATTCTCCTCTTGGGATCTTGGGCATGCATGCACATGCGCCCGGCGTGAGTTTAAGCCACCAGGTCTGGGACTCTAACTGCAGTCGACTACATGGGAGTCCAGCGACATAACCATTACGTTAACTGCTGTCTTCTTAACAAATGCATACAAGGGCAATGCAATAAAATATTGCCAATACAGAAGTAGAATTGTACCATAAATCTCTCGGACTTAATTACTTTGATAACTGGAAGTTTATCAAGTTCCCATTCATCTCTCCCCAGCCCCTGGACACCACCATGAGCCCCTGCTTCTGTTTTCCCTGTCTGGGGGGCCCACGGAAAAGGATCAGGCAGGAGTGGCCATTCAGTGGCCCCTGAGGCTCGGATTAGTCAGGGCTTAATGACAGTTGGCAGAACAGCTCTGTTTTGATCTTGACAGACTATCACACATCCACAGGCCCCAGCCCCTACAGCCCCAAGGTACTGAACATTAATAAGCAGGCATGTCCAGTGGTTTTCTTAGGCTATTGGGAGAAAGAGAGTGGGCAGTTTGACGATATCACAGCTTGAAGAGGCTGCAGGGAGGTGAGGACACAGGGGACTCTGAGGGTGAGATCTGACAGCTCCTTCCTCAGTGGACAGGGATGGAGGTGATTGAGATCTGGGTCTGAGTGGGGGTGGATCCTTCTGGGGGACACACACCATGAGCAGAGGAGGTGCAGGAACTCAGGAGCTGCGGCCAAGGGCGCAAATATTCACACACAAAGATTGCAGGTGCCGAGCCTGAGAACAGCTCTCAGATGGCCCTGGGGTGCGGCCACAGTGGGTGTGTGCTTGTAACTTGTCTCCTGCATCAGATGAGCTGCATCTAAGAGCCCCCCATGTGAGTGTGTGGGCACGTAGGCCCACCAGGGCACAGGGCCTGAGGGACAGGTGTGCTGTTCACTCTCACGGCCCTTCTGAACATGAAAGAAGGTGTTTCACAGAGAAGACAAGTGACAGAATCACCCACAAGGACTGAGCCATTCCATGGGGGACCAAGGAGGGAGATGACCTCCTGACACAGGCCTCGTGCCCTGGATCGCTTCCACAATGGTGATGGGATTAAGACAGCTTTCATTTGAACTACGTGTTGAAATGGAAAGAACAAAGAACAAACACTAGACCTTCCACTACCATAACGTGCACCCCTAGCCAAGCAATGTGGAGAAATGTGCAACATTTAGAATCAAATTCCTCTAAAATCAGACTTTGGGCGTGGTCT